TGCACTTGCGGCAGGCAACAAAAGCAGTGAGCTAGAACCCCAGCCCTCCAGTCCTTTATTTTTTTGAGACAGGACCTCACTAAGTTGCCCAGGCCAGACTTGAGCATGCTATCCTCCCGACTCAGCCTCCCTGAATGGTGAGTGCACAGGTAGCCGTGACTTTGATGCCAGGGCGTGCTGCTCATGGGGACACAGAAGCCTTCTGGAAGCCCCCGCCCCCAACTTCCAGCTTGGTCCCAGAGTGATCACCAAGGGCAAAAGAAAGACCCTGGCGTGATGGCAGCCCCTGGGAGTTATTTTTAGATGCAGAAGTATCCATTTCTGCAGAACAGGGTGCCTGGCCAGACCCATCCGCAGGACAGGACAGCTGCTGGGGGGATTAACTTTCAGCCAGACCCTGGGTTTTAAATAGAAGCCCAGGACAGGAGAGGAGGGAGGGCGTTTTGAGACTTGCGGGGAGGAGAGGAAATGTGTCATCCCGTTCTCCAGCGGGAGTGAGGCAGAGAAAGGTAACAGGGTCCCCACCCGACACACAGAGTGGAAAACGGTGAGTTCAAGACCATGTGGCTAGTCATTATGAGGCAGAGAGATAGCTGCTTACTTTTTACTTGTGTCGGGGATGTATGCTGATCATAAAAAGTAGTCTGTGGGGTGGACCATGAATTATGATCTTCCTGTGGTGGAGTACGATACAGCGGTGAAGCTGAGTATCGCCCTTGAAAACCTGTGCGCAATAAAGCCCCGCACAAAAGGCACACGTCATATGATTTCACCCCCATATGATACAGCCAGTTCTTTGCTTCTGCTGGTTCTCCACCTGAGAATTTGACCAATCACTAATGGAAAATATTCAGCAAAGCTGGGTGTGGTGGTGCAAGACTGTATTTCCAGCATTTGGAAGGCTGAGGAGGCAGCAAGGTTGGTGCAAGTTTGAAGCCAGCCTGGGCTACATCGGGAGTTCAAGGCCAGCCTGGTCTACGAACAAGACCCTACCTAAAGAGAAAAAACAAAGATGAATCACATCTGGACTGAATATGTCCAGACTTTATTTCTTGTCATCGGTCCCTAAACACCATACAGCCACTATTGACCTGGCATCCGTCTTGTACAGTGTATTCTCAGTCCTGCAGAGGTGGTATAAGGCATACAGCAGGGCTGATGGGGTAGGTCAGCAGTGAGCGCCTGCCTAGCATGTGCAGGTCCCGGGGCCCATCCTTAGAGCTGACAACCAAAGTACGTGGGAGGGTTGTGCAACCTAAGTGCTGGGTATGTCGCCGTGACAACACCCTGGTCAATCAGGTGGAAGGAGGAAAGGTTTGTTTGGGCTCATGGCCTCTGAGCCTTACAGGCTAAGTCCCATGGCCCTGTTGCTCTGGGCCTGTGGCTCCCATGTGGCAGAGGAGGCCTGTTTTCTGGCGGCAGGAAGCAGAGAGGAAGAGAAAGGGGCCATAGGCCTCTATGCTCTGCAGGCCACGCCCCCAATGACCTGACTTCCTCCCGCTAGGCCCCACCTCTTAAAGCCTCCACACCACCCAGCACCGCCAGAGGCTGGACCCTGAGGCTTTATAACACATGAACGTTTGAGGGCTCTGAACTCCAAACCACGGGCCTGGAGCATAGAGCAGGTGACCCCACGTGCTTATGTCCATCGTTACCCTCTGCATCTGCACGAGATCCAGGGACACCAGAGGACATTTGACCTTCGTGAGGAAGAAAGGAAGGAGAGAAATTGCTAGACTATAAACTCTGCGATGGGTGCCAGGGATTTAGCTCAGTGGTTCCACCACCTGCCCACAAGTGCAAGGTCCTGAGTTCAATCCCTGGTACCAAAACACAAAAACAACTCCAGAGGGGCAGGGGCCTTGTCTGTCTTGTTATGTTTGTTTGCTTGTTTGTTTGAGACAGGGTCTCACTATATAGTTGAAACTGACCTAGAATTCAGGCTGGTCTCAAACTCACAGTGATCCTCCTGCCTCAGCCTCCCGAGTGCTGGGATTACAGGTGTGCGCCACCACGCCAGGCCTGTTTTATTACTTCTGTAGCATCAGGATCTGGCTTGTCACAATGCACCCTAAATTTGTCTGCTTCCACTATTTATGGGGCAGTTTCTGAGAGCCCTGGGATGGAGCAGCAGGTTCCATTGGGGTCCCAGTCCCCATGGGGGGATGCAGGTAAGGCTAACTCCCCAGAAGCAACCACAGTATGTGGCTGATTGGCCACAGGGTTTGTTCCTCCGCTGTGGAGGCTGGAAGGCTAAGATCGGGTTTCCGGGGCCTCTGCCCATTTACGGTGCCCATCCCAGGTGGACAGCAGGCCTCAGGCAGGCGCAGGACCCGCTAAGGCAGTGGTGAACCCATGGTGCACATGCTATTCGTCTTCCTTTAAGATGTTAAGGTGTGAGTTGCTTTTTCTGAACTAAAACCTCCGTATTCCCATTTAACTGTAGTGTTGTGATAAATCAGTGGGTTTGGGCTACAGCCTGGGCACAGGTCTGTACAAAGTCCACTGTCCCTGTCTAAGGGCACTAATCCCACTTTGGGGGCTCCACCCCCATGGCCTAGCCACCTCAAGGTAAGGATCTGCAGGAAGCCCAGTGAAGTGTTGCAGGCCTGTAGTCCTAGCACCCTGAGAGGCTGAGGCAGGAAGATCCCCCGGAGATTACGGCCAGCTTGGGCTACACAGGAGACTCTGGGACATCTGGGGATGTAGCTCAGTGGTTCCACTGCCTGCCTCACAAGAGCAAGGTCCTGAGTTCAATCCCCGGTAGCATAAAACAAACAAAAAACTAGCCTTTCATGGGAGACCCTGGGCATGCAGCTCAGTGCAGAGGCTCTGGGTTCAATCCCAGGTGCTGTACACTTACGCAGGCACACAGGCAAATGCTTGCTGGAGCAGAGGGGGTTTGGGGGTCTCTGCTATGAAAGCCCGGCCCAGTGCCTGGGCCTGGGGAGCCTGGTCAGCGTGAAGGCGCCACTGTCGCCACCTCCGCATGTCGCACGCGGCCCCCCATCCGCTCCTTGCAGCCCCGGTGC